CTTCATGTGGAAGGCATTGTTTTAAATAGTAGACATACATATATTATCCCGTTTTATATTCATGGCAATTCTTTGAGGGAGGGAGACACTTTTTACTAAAAGCCCCCTTTTACAAAGAAGATCATTTAAGCACAGATAAGTTAAGCAACTTGCCCAAGGTCACACAGCTAAGAAGTGGTAGAGGCCAGATTCAAATCTATGTAATCAGTTTTCAGAGCTCAATCTCCTTGCCTTAAGTCAATATAGCACAAAAGTTGCACATCCATAATGAGCAATGCAGTTCACACAAATTTTAAGAACCCACAAAATAGGCTCGGCGCCTGTGGCTCAAGCGGCTAAGGGGCCAGCCATATACACTTAAGGTGGGGGGTTCGAATCCAGCCCAGGCCCGCCAAACAACAATGACGGCTGCAACCAAAAAATAGCCACGCATTGTGGCAGGCACCTGTAGTCCCAACTACTTGGGAGGCTGAGGCAGGAGACTCGCTTGAGCCCAGGAGTTGGAGGTTGCTGTGAGCTATGATGCCACTGCACTCTACCCAGGGGGACAGCTTGAGGCTGTCTCAAAAAAAAATTAAAAAAGTTTTTCTTGTAGATTATAATACAATTAGGTATTATAAAAAGATTAGTAAATAATTAGTAAAGTTTTTTTTGGGGGGGGGCATTTTTTGGCTGGGCCCAGGTTTGAACCCGCCACCTCCGGTATATGGGGCTGGTGCCCTACTCCTTTTAGCCACAGGTGCACAGGTGCTGTCCTAAAAAAAGTTTGTTTTAATTAACAGCTATTGGCTCGGCGCCTGTGGCTCAGCTGGCTAAGGCACCAGCCAAATACACCTAAGGTGGTGGGTTCAAATCCAGCCCAGGCCCGCCAAAACAACAATGATGGCTGCAACCAAAAAATAGCTGGGTGCTGTGGTGGGTGCCTGTGGTCCCAGCTACTTGGGAGGCTTAGGCAGGAGACTCACTTGAGCCCAGGAGTTGGAGGTTGCTGTGAGCTGGGATGCTACGGCACTCTACCCAGGGGGATAGCTTGAGGCTCTGTCTCAAAAAAAAAAAAAAAATTAACAGCTACTAATTACACTGATAAATGTGGAATATTAACCAAGACAAAAAATGGCAAATATGGGCAGTGCCTGTGGCTCAGTGAGTAGGATACCGTCTCCATATACCAAGGGTGGTGGGTTCAAACCTGGCCCTGGCCTAAATGCAACAAAAAAAATAGCCGGGCGTTGTGGCAGGCAACTGTAGTCCCAGCTACTCAGGAGGCCGAGGCAAGAGAATCACCTAAGCCCAAGAGCTGGAGGTTGCTGTGAGCTGTGACACCATGGCACTCCACCAAGTGTGACTCTGTCTCTTAAAAAAAAAAAAAAAAAGGCAAACTTCATAGTACACAGAAGAGTACAAGATCAGATCAGGTATGACCCTTACACCTATAATCCTAGCACTTTGGGAGGCTGAGCTGGGAAGACTGCCTGAGCACAAAAATTTGAGACTAGCCTAGGCAGCGTAACAAGTCTCCAGGTCTGGCTTGGCGCCTATGGCTCAAGTGGCTAAGGCGCCAGCCACATACACCTAAGGTGGCGGGTTCGAATCCCCAGCCCAGGCCCGCCAAACAACAATGATGGCTGCAACCGAAAAAATAGCCAGGCATTCTGGCGGGC